TTTTCTTTTTAAGTTGATCCATAAAGTGAGACTGGGTGTTTTGGAAAATGGATGAAAACCCCAAATCACTCCCCACCTCTTCCCTGCAACTCTTTGAAAAGGTGTGTTCTCTTTAAATTATACTGGTGAAATCCAAGTTATACATAAATGAAAAAGATTTTACCCTATAAATCCAGCCTAAAGGATGTAAATAATCTTATATCTCTGTCTGCATTTATCTAATCTATCTATCTATCTATCTATCTATCTGTCATCTATCTATCTGCCATTTCATCACAAAAGGTTTCTTCAGTTTAACCACATTAGCCACAGGGGATATGATTATTTCCTGTCTTAAGTAATTCAGAATAAAGGAATTTTCAAGACTCACACAAGCTGTGACAAATTATGGGATTTCACCCTGTGCTGGCCAAGCACCTTCCTCTTCCACTGGCAGCAATGGGAGCTGAAGGTGTTTGGCACCTCAGAGGAGGTCTGACAGCATGTACTCAACTTTTACAAAACAGTTGTAAGAAATACCCTCATGTTGGACTGTGACTTTTTCAGGAAGCCCTTGCTTCCGTGTTTTTGGCTTTTTTGCTGTCATTTGCAGCCAACTTTTCTCTAGCTGGAGGCGTTAATGACGAATTTTCTAGCCCAAATTTCACAATGTAGCCTTGTTAGTTAAACTTGTTTGTTAATGGCATTTCTCAGCTACCATAAAAAAAAACCCCAACAAATCCTTCCCTTAATCTGTTTTTATCATCATTGCATTGTAAGGTAAAAGACCTGTGAGGTCTGGATCCCATTCAGTTCTGCAACTGAGGTACAAACTGTGACAACAAATTTTCTGAGATGGAGAGCTCGACTGAACTGATACTGGAAATGACATGTGTGTTTATCCAGAAATACAGACTTTCTTTTTTGAGATCTGTTGTATGTTTTTAAATGGATATATTTGTTTGTCTCAAAGGTTTTAAAGCTAGAAGGAATGACCATGGTGCTATCATCTCACTATATACATGGCGTAGGTCACAAAAGACAAACCCCTCTTCAGTGGCTTTTGCACCAAGCATATTTTACAATGGCAGTAGAACACATTTTTGGAAAACATGTTTTGGCTGATATGAATTTAATTTTGTAAAAAATCAAGGCAGCACTATAAACAGATTTGATAGGAACTGGGAGAAGTGGTTATCTTTTTTCCCGTTGTGGTTGGCCATCAGATCCCCACAGCTGTCTGCTGTGTAGCAGTGGAAGGATAGAGACAACGAGAGTAGCTAGGTTAAGATTAGTTGCACCTAACTTTATCCATTTATTAGTTAAACATTCTGCTATAGAAAATGGAGAAATACATATCTCTGGAGAGGGATTCAGCCAACTATCTTAGACTAGGATGAACTTGCCTCTATAGGTGCTCTCTGTCTTTATTGAATGTAGAGAAACTTAAACTAATTTAGACTACATTTCTAGTTTCAGCTAACAGCTCAAGCTACATTAGTGTTTGCTCAGAAGACATTTGAGTGACAGATGATAGAGGCCTATGTCACTCAGTTTTAGGGTTTTGCAACTTGACGACCTGCACAACATAGCAGCCAGTTCCCACTGCCCATGGGAGAGAGGCCTGAACACATTTTTTCTCAAGCAATGTTTCACAAGTACACCTATAGCTGGCCTTGAGGTCTGGGAAAAGAAGCAGCTGTATAAGCAACTGCTTGTTATGGTTTCCTAATGCTTATCTTTGACATTGGTTAAAGTTGGTGGATGTCGATCTACCTCGTGACTTCTTTTCTCATCCTAGAATTGGTTTTATCCAGACTGCACTAATGTGACCTATGTTTTAACCCAGAAAGCTCTCTGCCTATCCTCATCACATCGGTAGTACCAAGTGGTGCTACACAGAGCATCACAGGAATCATCAACACTGCTGTACTGTGATGTTCTTAACACAATACCAGCAGGGATTCAGCTTTCCTAAGTGTTCACAACATGGGTGTCTGCACATGAGTTAACTGTCTAAGCTTGCATTATATCAACAAAAATCTAATCAATGTGGTCAAATAACACCTAAAGAGCATTTCATCCGACCACATGTAGGAGGTAAACTTAGGATGATTTATGCAGCTCTCAGGAGCTCACCAAATGCTTTGACCAACACCATTGACTATGATGAGAGCCTAAGCCTGAGATCACATGAAAACACTTAGGCTGCAATTAAGCTGCCTAAACAGTGATTTGTTGTGCTTTTGAGACAGTCTAGTGAACCTGAGACATTGACACAGGCCTGGTGGCTGTGACCCAGGACCTAGAGGGGACATGTAGCTTCTAGACTGGTAGTTGGAGGCCGACTGGAAACCTTCAGGCACCTTAAAGGCACTAGATACCTGTCCAGGCAGCTGAGTTGAGCCACTACTTTGCAGGCTCAATCCTACCATAGAGTCAACAAAGCTTAATCATTACTCAGCTTGAGTAAAAAACATGGGACAATGGTGAATGGTTCAAATAATGTATTTGACCCCTGGCAAACCTTTAGCAAAGACTGAAGCCTGTGAGGGCAGAATTCAACCACCCGAACATAGGTGCCTAGAGACAGTGTAGGCTCTGTGGGGCTTTGGGAAGTGCTGGTCTCCCAGAAGTCATGTTTCATACCTGTATGGGTGACTTGGATACCCTATAGCACCTCAAATAGACTAAAGACATGTTTAGGGAATTGGATTCCTGGCTAGGCAAATCTGTCTCAGTTAATAACGCTATGGGCTACGACTACATACAAAACCAGTAACCAGACACTAGGGAGTGGTACAGTACTCCACCAGTACAGTAATTAGCCAATAGGACTGTAAACTTATTAAAAGGGAGTAAGAGAATGGCAGGTGATTGTGTGGACTGAGCTGGAAACAACACCCAGATTCCAAATTACTGAAAGCGGTCCTTGTGCCTGCAGGCAGGCGGGAGCTGCCGGCACCAGCCGTGCCCTCCTCCTAATGCTGTGGCTGGAATGGAGCAATCACCACACTCACGCAGGAAAAGGAAATATTCACTCACATAAACATGGGGAATATTTCTTACACAGAAATCACTTCATTTTGAGCTCTCGGTCTTCCTGCTCAACGGAAATCCACAAAATAAATTTCAAAAAAATGTGCCTGGCAGCTAAAAATCAGAACTTCAGAGGATACCAAAAGGCATGGACTAAAAATATGCCATTATAAACATCATCCTCTCTTCAACTTCTTCATCTTCCATGGTTTGTAAATTAGCCTTTATCTCTCTCTTTCCTCCAAAACATAACCACCTCCTTACCCCTCATCTCCCATTTAACATTTTCTCTGCCCCATAAGTACCCACTAATTTTTTCTTCTAGAGAGGGATTAGTGTTCTGCTCTAAATCTGAGGAGCTGTTCTGGCATTGCCTTGAGATCTTCTGCTTCTACTTCATATCTGAAGGGAACATGTGCCCCAAATTTTTATTTTTTAATATATAATTGGTCTAGTAAGAAATATTATCTTTTCCTGTAAATCTTGTGTTATATTTGTAGACCATCTCTTCTAAAACAACATAATCAATTTAGATTTAGATACTTCTAAACCAATTTTCAGTTTAATTGTCATTAGTAGTTCAGGAGCACTGGCTTACACAAGAAAATATGTTTAAATAACATTGCTACTAAGCTTTCGAATTAAAGAACTGGTACCTAAATCACCTTGTGAGAACAGGATTCATATAAATTAACTTCTTCATTAAAGACTTTGATTTACTCTAATTTAATTTTATTTTTATTATTTTATAATTTTTTTAGGTTTTACAAAGAATATATTTGTTAATTTTCAATAATACAGTTTCTTATCTTTGAATAGTATTTAGACTAATTTTTACTCCTGAATTTAATAATCGTAAGAACTACCAAATCTGTTCTTTATTTATGAGGGATACAATTTAATAGGCTTCTAATACAGACAGCTAAGTAATGAAAAAAATTAAACAGATAGATATATTTTTATAAGGTTACACATTCTTTTCTCAAAATGCAGTTACTTCTATTACAATAACCTGAAACCTTCCCATGAAGTATGTCAAATAATACAGATGTTGTATGAGATAATACATTTTGTTATGGTCATATGGCTTCTAATGCCATCGGCTGAGCTACAAAGACTAAAGTGGATAACCCTTCAAACACCATTTTAATTGAGGATATTTGAAAAAAATGCAGTTAAGCTGGAAGTCAAGCTGGTTTTTTTCCATGAACTTTTTGTATCAGAAATATATTTGGCCAAGAATTTTCATTTTTTAAGCAAACTTCTTCATCCTTTAACCCACTGAAATTAGGAGGGATTTACTGCCTACTGGAGTAGTAAGCACTTCAAAGAGCCTTGAGTAAAGAGGTTTATTTGTCTGTAATATGATGTGTCTGCCTGTGATAGCAAGGGACTGACTGGTTTCAGTGTTCTCAGGGGTCCGTTCTAATCTACATTCCCAGGCTTAAACCCAGTTTCTAAGCCCAAAAACGTAAGGAAAAAAACCCCGCCTACAGTTGCAAAGACATACACCTTGGAGGGAAGGCTAGGAGTGGAAGGTGGGGAAAGAGGAACAGAGAGTGGAAGTGTGATTTGTAGACTGATGCTAATGAGCCCCAACTGGCCTGATTACCCATAGGATTTTCAACAGGGCTTGTGTGGGGTGATGGAGTTCAGAGCCAGCTGGCTGCTCCTTTCTCTGGCTTTGGGAAAAAGATCTGATGTTTCATGCCAGAGTACATTTTTTTAGCGTTTGGAAGCTGGAGTTGGCTCTTGAGTATTAGTAGAAATAAGACATCAAGGACACAATGATATGACAAACATAATTTGTTAGGAAACTTTAATGTAGCAGGTGAAATTGTGATAAATTATATAAATGTATTTGTTTTATAATAAATAATTATTAGGACCATACTCCCACAGAATTTGGGCCTGATAGTCATGAAATGCTGAAAAATTCAGCACATAAAAACATACAGTGTGCATATGGAAAAACATTGTAATTAACAATTAAACCAGCTGATGCTCTTCATTTGTCCAACAATCCGCTTGGCACGAGGATCAAACTGGAACTGAGTTGTTCCATGGAACAAGTAGACATAGCCTAGAAATAAAATTTAATCCAATTACATTTCATAGGTGACTTCGTTTCAGTACTTTGGAAAAAAAAACCAACATAAACAGCCCATGTATACTTGCCAATTTTCTATTTCCATCTCATGAAGGTTAATAGGTTTTTGAAAACAAATGATTCTATCTACAGAAACCCAAATATTCAGGTAAACCCAGATTAAAGGTATGTTTTACTTACCATCTTTCTGGAAAGCAGCATCAACTCTGCCAATTTTTCCAAAGTCGGAGACTATTTTCCTGGGATAACCACGATCCATGGATTTTTTGTTTTCATCGTATCTTAACACAAGAAACATCATTACAATTTGTGAGGAAGCAGACAATATCTTGAAAGTCCGAAGCACATTCATATACATAAGCAACTCTACTGTTACTATGAAGTCTTATAAAGATTAGCTAAAGTAGGTTTTTGATTTTTCCTATTATGTATTAAGGTTTTCACATTATGAGTGTCTTGAGATTTGAAAATCCTGCCTTTGGTAGAATTTGTAACAAGGCTCTCAAGGACCTTGGGAATGCAGCCCAGGAATTTATTAATGCATTTCTGGACTTTCAAGAGCCTTGGCTATCACTTGCACATAAAATGAGTTTCTATTTTGAGGCACTGGATATCCAGTTCAGTATAAAAGAAAAACATAAAACTTGGGAGTAGAAGACAGTAGCACATACTGAAACATACTTGTATAGTGTCAACCATGTACTTATTCTTAAACAAATTTACTCTCTGAAATTTGTCATGAGCTACACTTGAATTATAAATATGACCAACTGTACAATTGGAGAATATTTATAGTTTGTTCATAGAGAAATTAAATTACAACACTTTTTATTAGCAGTTCATTTTGTTTGAAATGTGAATGAAAAGTGGACACTACCATAACATTGCACAGAAAAGCAGCACTTTTGTGGAGAAAAAGTGAATAATTTACTAGAAAATCACTCTTTTATTGGGCAGAAGTTTCATTAAGTTGCAAGTAATTACATTCCTGCTACAAGGATCTAATGAATGGCAAAAAAAATCTTATAGAAAAGTTGACATTTCCTAGCAAATGCTTAAAATTTTTAAACTTCCAGAGAATCCTGTTTAAATTCTGGAATATACCTGGTTTAAACATCATTGCATTTGAATTTTATAGTAATACATCAGTCCTCAAGGACAAGTGAAAATATGCCTTCTGGTAAATGAACATTAAATCTTACCTCCAGTATCTGTCAGCTCTAAAGAAGTATGTTTTTCCTGTGGTTTCATCACTGTAAGCTGCATTAACTCTTTTAACAGTCTTCGGGAACCCCAAACGATAGATTGGTTTAGGATAGCCGGGTGCAATGTCATATCCCCTGAGAACCCAATATTTATCCTCTGAAAAATATAAGCACATTTCATTTGTTTTTGCTATTTATAAACAGCATTTAATTGTGTTTTAGATGGGTGGCAAACAATGTGTCTTAGATATCAGTATTATTCCTTTCAGTTTATTGCTTTAGAAAATGGTTCTAATTCTTACACTGGGACTACATCACGAAGACAGTGGAAATGTCTTTTGTTTTTATGAGTAAAACATTAGAATCATAAGGTGTATGGATAGTACTTTTCCCAGATTTTTTTCAAATTAATATAAAGTATTTGTCTGGGTAACAACTTGGGGAGGGCTGGAGGTTGATGAGGAGCAGGGAGTAACTGGTCAGAAAAAGTAGAGAACTTCAGATTCCATTACCTTTAAAAAGTAAAACTTCATCCCTCTCAACATTTTCATAAGCAGCTTGAATTCCTGATGGTAACTTTGGCCAGAACAGTGAGATAAAATTGAGCTCTGTCTCTGTCCTCTCAGGATGTTTGCGCAGCATATATCTGTTTTAAACAAAATTTATGTGATAAAATAGTTCCACTCCTATCATAAGTGCAAAATAATTATTATAGCTCCTGGAGTATAACAGGGTAGGGAGATGGGTACCTGGGTGTGAATATCCCCCTCCACTAAATGTAAAGGAAATCTAGAGCGACTGCACTCTTAACTTTAGCACCTCAGTAACATGCAAAAAATCAGGCAAGATGAATGTAAGCCCTTCTATTTCTCTGTAGGACAAGCAGGCTAAGAGTTGGCTTCAGTAACCACCTAACAGACATCTTTCTACATAACAGGTCTTTCAGTTCTGCCCCTGCTCTTGTATTGAGGAGTAGCAGAAAGGTTACAGTGTGGGACACATGGACACATTGCTAAGGGATATATGAATGCTCTTGCATTCAATTAGTTGAATTGAGTTCAGAGACAAGTCTGTTGCAGCAGTGGCCACAGCAGCAGAATAGTTGGAAAACAACCTACAAGCCCTCATCTCCTTCACTGCTCTTGTCAACTAGGGCTCTTGGGATTAATGATTTGAGAACTCTCACTTGTGTAAATACATGGTGGTTTTCTAGTGCTTCTCTTTGTACTACATTCCAAAAGGAGAGTTTTCCTTCATGGATTACAGATTTTTTTTAAACTACTGAATATTTTAAAGAGGTAATATATATATTTATTGTTGTTACCTGCCCTTGAAGAATATTATTTCTCCACGTAGGGTAGTAATAGCATCAAATGTCAAATTTGGGTCACAAGCTTGGGGAGTTATGGGTCCTGTTGGCTGCACAGCAGCATTAGAATGTCCTATAGGAAGAATATTTTATCTTTTAGTATGGAGAAATATAAAGACAGTGTTCAGAAGGTCTCTGAGGACACCAAGAACCCTCTTTACAGAGAATGAGAAGGCATATAGTTTTAAACTAAGGGTCTGTCACTAGAAGCAGGCTTTTAATCTTGATAAAACCCGTTGTGTTCATCTTTTCTAAAATGAGTTTTTTGCAGAACTGGACTTCAGCTTCCAGGGATTTTCTCTCTTTTGTTATCCATTGTTCAGCAACAGTTAAACTTCTCATTTTGGTGGAATAAGCATATTTTAAATATATTCTTATTACTGTTTACCAGCCTCCCAAGTAGAAATATTAAATAAAAATATTTTTTCTTACCATAGATGGCTTGAATGCCATCAATGTCATCCTGAGGAAGAAGGAATTCATTGGGGTCTGTGTAGGAGTAAGTTGGATACATCAGTGCTCCAGGATCATTTGAATGAGACAGACCCAGTGAATGGCCAAGCTCATGGGCAATAACAATGAACAAATTGTAGCCTGTAGGATAAAAATCATATGAAACAAGGTAAAACCTGTTTCAGTATTCAGCACAGTTGACTAAATGGGAAACACTTATGCATCTTCCCAAAATACACTACAGGTACAAGAGAGGCTGTAAGTAATGCTATCAACAGCACAACTCAAAAATATTGTCACAGAAGAGCTATATGAGTACTTAAAGAATGTCTGGCCTTAATTGTGGTCTCATTGTCCTTTCTCTAGTGTCTTTGTGTCTTAAACAAAAACCTTGTTTCTCCTGCTATCAGATAAACTGCTCAGATCAAGGACCATGCCAATGACGAGGGGAGGTTCAGTGATCCAACAGAAAAAAACCTTCAAAACAAACACTGAGATGACAGTTTTGCTGATACTGGAATACCCTAGTTAACACCGAACTTTGAAGTGCTAGGTTAAGAAAGATAAAGGATTTGACTTGAGAAGTTTACCACCAGATCTTCCTGTATCCAAGTTTTAGGTTTCATTTGAACAAAAAAAGTATTTTTAAGTGCTGATTTAGTTGCCATTATAAACCACTATGACCTAAAAATCTCTTTTCTGTGAATTGATTCCTACAAAAGGCAAAAAAAAGAGCAAAGCAATTTAAAAAGACAAGTTCTGCCACTTTTGCTCACTTTTTGCCTGTAATCAGTCTCATGAATGAAGCATCACATGAGCTAAGATTGTACAAGGTAAAATATATAAATGGATCCAGTTACAAAGGTCTTGCCTGTTCCATCTTTTGTCCAGGCTTCCTCCTCATCAAGATGCACATCTCCACCAATACCTTCACCAGGCTGGAAAGCATGAGCCAGCTGCCCATTGGGGCCATCAAAAGGAGAGTTGTCATAGTGGTCTAAAATGAAGAGGGAAAAAATCAGTTAGAATCCTAAATTACTTCTATGATTGCAGATGGCTATTTAATACGTAAAGATAGCAATGTTACCTCTATAAGCAAAAGAGATCATTATATCTGCTTCTTTGTCCTCAACCTTTTGGAATGTCAATGGTGTCACGTTGCTCCAGACACTGAGAGCTTTTCTGATTGCTTCATCTACATCAGCTTGTCTCATCTTTGGGGTGTAATTCAAAATCCTTCAAAGCAAACCAAACACATTATATATTGTTAAGAATACAGCACTTTAGCTGAAAAATAATAACTTGTGCAAAAGTCAGAAACCTTAGACATATCTTTCATGAATGAAAATTAATAATGGCTTCATTTTATATATTGCCTTCTAAAGTGTCTGTCTTCCAAAAATCAGTTAATCACTCCGAATATCCATATATGGCATTAATGTACTTACTTCAGACCCCCCAAAGTTGGGATGCTAGATTTATATCTTTTTGAACCAGATTAGGAAAGGTTACCTGTATGTCAGATTATTTCTTTTCCATTTGGGATTCCCTGCTGTGAACACATATTGCCCTATATCAGGTATACCACATCTGGGTTTTTTCATCATCTCCAAAGTGTCAAGATCAGGTTTCCCGGTCACTTGTAGTCCAAAGAATGCCTGCATTTCCTTGAGCTTTGCAGCAAGGGCATTTTCACCCTTGTTTCTTAAATGAGGCTGGTGATCCCTTTGAAGATCGTAGAAATTCTGTAGATAACTCTGAACCAGAGTTTAAAAAAAGAAAAACATTATGGCATATCAGTACTGTCTTCAGTCGCACTTAAATTTTCTAAGTAATCTTGAACTATTCCCATATCGACATGCCTTGTGTTTACATTATATGGCATATCAGTACTGTCTTCAGTCGCACTTAAATTTTCTAAGTAATCTTGAACTATTCCCATATCGACATGCCTTGTCAATATGTCAGGAGCAAGAATAGCCTATTTTCTCCAGGAACTGGTGTGAAGAGTCAGATATAGCTTACAGTTTTCATGTAGTTTTCTGAATTTCTTGTTTCACTGATGTAATATATGAAGAAATGACTTTAAAATCTAATATTTACTATTAATAATTAATTCCACATTATTTATGGTGCCCAATTACTCTAACGGCAAAACTTATGAGGAAGCTTATAACAGGTCTCATTCAAGGAAACAGAGATTGGCAGTGAGACTCCACACAGCCAGGACGCCCAACGAAGCTGGTGACTACTACTAGAAAGTCAGCACTTGAGAAATCATGCCATTTATTTTTAGCTACGAAATATGATATTAGGAACACAGGTCTTCCTACTAAATTTCAACTATTTTGTCTCAAATAAATAGTGTTATGTGTATGTAAGTGTTGTATTTCTCATAGATGTCCCTTTTTTCCAAAGTATTCCATAAAAGACCCATTCAGCAAAACGTTGAAATACATGCCTGTTTCAAGCAAGTTTTCTCCCTTATGTTAGAGACCAGTCGTATCACAAGTTTCAAAGCACATTCTGAAATGTTAATTGTTGCTGAGTTTGACTATTTCTGCACAGCCAGAGCCTTGCTTCTAGAACTCATGCTTTGGTGGTTTTGTTATTACTTTACTAACAACATCAAAAGTGAAGTTATGCAATATTCAGATGACTTTTGGGTAAATAAGTTCCACATAATTTTCACACTTTTTCTAGATTGATAGGAAAAGCTTTCTCTTGAAACCTCTCCAAAATGGTACATCTTTAATTTCAAGCCATATTCTGTGAAAAGAATTGCAATTATAATTATCTCTCAGACTACCTTATGTTTCACTTAGAAATGCACTGAAAATATTTACCTCTACAAGTTGTAGGGTTTTTCCTTCATCTTCTGCTTCTGGAGCCACAGGAAAAGCAGAGGAGACAGCCACATACAGCAACAGGAGAAGCAAAAGGGTCTTCATCCTTGTCTAAGGTTGTCTTGCCTCAGTTTCACTCGAGCTATTGAACATGCTTCTCAGCTCTGTTTATATAGCTAATCTGTAAATCAGTGACAGTCTGACTCATGCTGTATAACAACATCCTCTGATTAGTAAAAATGATGCATAACAGTTTCAGCATCAGGTAATGATGCAATGTGTTTAACTAATGTTACTGTCCTTATTTTGCCTGAGCCTTCTGTTTTGGGCAATTCTGTAGTGTGTTTAATAAATAAGGAAATGCTTTTCAAGTAAAACATGGAGCTACATTTCGTAGGTTTTTCTTGAATCATGAATTTAGACTATGGCACAAGGTCTTAAACTGGAGAAATAATAGGAAATATCATATAACAGTAACATAACATATTGTATTATAATGAATAACATTATGCTATATATATGATACATATGTTTTAATATTTAATAAAATATAGCATATTATGTCATAATATGTAATAATAAACTATAAAAGACAGTACAAAGAACCAATCTTATCTAGGAATAATCAGCATCATAACTCCAGGAGGGCTGTCATCAGCTAAAAGTCCTATCTAAAACAATCTTACGATGCTAGCAAAACTGAGTGCTAAAATGATTCAACATTTTTTGACTGATATTAACAAAAATCAGTCATGTTACTGGAATGCATAAACTGGGTTCCCATATGTATGGTAAGTAAAATAACATTTATACTCTTGCCAGCACAGATAAGGTCTCGGCTGCAATTGCATGTTTGGATCCAGGCAGAGAGACGAGCTCTGGTCGGAAAGATTCCATGAAGCCTAACAGGAATTTTTGTGAGTCTGGAAAAGGAAGATTAAAGTAACCATTTTGTGACTCTGTGTTTACTGTTTCATGGAAGGAAGAGCAAGGGGAGCCATGATAAATGCTGTTAAATATATGAAAGATTTTTCCTAAAAGAGAAGCAGTGACTGTTCGCCAAGACTCTAGAATGGTCTTAAACAACAGTGATTAAGTTTAGTATGACGTTTGGGATTCAGCTGCCTGAACATTAGTGCTATTTGAGATGCTCTAGGGAATCCCACCTGACCTCCAGCTGCCCTGGAAGGATGTAGGTCTCCATAGCTCCTGTGTCATGGCAGCCAGCCCCAGGTGGGTGTCTCATATACAGGTAAATGAGTAATGAGGTAGAATCAGCTTTAAATGTTTTGTCATGTAGATATCCACAAGTTATTTAGGTGTCTCAGCTCCCATTTTGGACAATGGATTCTAGAGAGTGATTCAACTGACCATATGACATGGACTTCAAGATGAGGTAAATTGCTCTCTATACTTCATTGACTGTATTGTCTAGGTCTCTATCAATGATAAGAGGAGTTTAAATACCCAGGACACATGTGGGAACCTACAGTGTAGACCCCTAAATTGAGGAAAACATTTCTAACTGCAAGGACAGCTAAGCACCAGAGTAGATGGCCTGAAGCAGCTATATGTTTGCTAACTCTGGAAGCTGTCAAGTACAGGCTAGACATCTTTCAGAATGGTTTTGGTGTTGCTGTCTTTGTTGGAGGTAAAAAGCCTCCTTGGAAACTTTAAAAGGGAAAAAGTAAATGTTAGTGTGAGAGAGAGAAATACAAATATGTATATTTGTATAAGCTCAATACAGGATGAAAATTTTAATTGTGCTGGGAAGTAATTAACTTGGTTTCCCCAGCATCAGGGAAAAATAATGTACTTAGTATATGATTCTACACTCACTGTAGTGTAGCACCCCCTAATTATATCTAGGTTCAACAGAGCAGACATCATTCCTGGGAAAAGCAAATTACTTTACACCTTCCAATGCGAGTCACATTGCTTGTCTAGAGTGGTTGACTAAAGCTAACACAGGACATTTCAAAAGCAGAAGCAACAGTCTAGTGCTGGTATTTGAAATGGCTAGGACAATAATTCTTCAAAGGGTACAGCTTTTGTAGATGTAAAGATATTCAGCCTCATGGTTCGTAGTCCAAGGAAACTTCATTGTTGATTATTCTTAATCCATTTTGACTTTCAGACATGAACAAAAAGAATTGTGTGTGTTGGATACTTCTCCAAAGTATTTGTTACAACTCACATGATCCTGGGATTTGTGAAATGCTGCTTAACTTCTGTAACTGTGTTTCTAAGCTAGTATTATTTCCCTGTAAATATTTCTCCTTCATGTGTTTTTATAGGCTGGTTTATATAGTTCCAGATTCAATACCTCTGTTTCTTTCTTCTTATTTTCATTCTTACAGAGTAGTTAACTCGTTATTTCTTCTATCCCTTTTTCTTTTATTTTCCGAAGGCATCATAGGCATGTTTAAACACATACAGGCAAAGAAGAGATGCAGATTAATCAGATGCATCCGGTGGCTGAGATGGGAACATTAGGAAATCATGTGTTGCAGCTTGTGCAGAGAGGTTCTGCTACCTTGCACATTTCTGCAAAGGGTCTATGGCCAAATTTTAATGCGACCAAGAGGATACTGAGTCAGGCAGAGGGTGAAAGGGGACATATGGTTGTTTTCCAATAAACTTTAAATAAATTACTTTCCAAGGCAGCCAGTGGCAGAACTAGAAAGTCCTGGACTCCAGCACTAGCTGTGGGAGCTGTTTATGTATTTGAAGAGTCATCAAGTGAAAAACCTTAAACAGCATCAGGAAGAGGAAGCAGAAGCAGTGGCTTCCCTCCGTCTTGGGAATTTCCACAGTCTTGGGCTACAAAGTCATGTCCCATTTCACTGTCTGCATTGGCTTCCTACTGCGTGTCTTTTGGCACATCTCCCTCGAATGAGGGAAGGAGAGGTTTCAGTCATCTGCTCTTCCCACTGTGTGGCAGCTAGCACATTGCCACCCTCTCCTTTTCAAGCACTTGCCTTCAGACAAAAATCTCAAACGCAACAGAAGGAGACATGAATATGCCAAAATGAAACTGAGACCCCTTGAAATACATGAGAATTTTTACTGAGTGCCAACCGGTGTCTACACAGTCCCTCACTTTGCCTGCGGGACCATTGTGTTGCACCTGCACCTGACTGGCACAGTCTGTCCTGGCCTCTCACTAAACCCCATTTCTAGCTATTTTCCCAGGCCAGGGGCTCTGTCCTGTGTGCAGGGATGTGTGTGTGGGTCTCAGTGATAGCTCCTGGGGTGGGACGAGGGGCTGGAGGCCCCTGTGTCTGTGGTGCTGTGACTGGAGAAACTGGGGTGCATGCATGTCAATTGGCTACATATGTGTATGTGCGAGCACTAACGAAGATCCAGCTGGATGAGCCAGTGCATAGGGTAAGAGGTTAAGAGCTGCATGTCAAAGTGGCCACAAGCCAGGGCTGGATACTGGAGAGACCAGGGCTCTGTGGGTTGGCCACCTGAGGGACCGGGAGCCCAAATCAGCAACTGGAGAGGCTGTGGGATCTGGGGTCAGTGGAGAGACTTGTTTGTGTGTGTGTATGCATGAGGCAGCAGGGGACACCAGCACATCCCAGGGCAGCTGCTGCATGGATGGGGTGCCCGAGCCCAGCTGCTGGTGGATCCATAGTGTATTTGTGTGTGTGTGTGCAGTTGTGTGTATGTGTGTGTACATGTGTGTGCATGTGCCTACTGGGAATACACACTCAGCCTCGCTGCTGGCTGGACGTGGGGGCATGGAGCTGCAGCAGCTTCACCTCTATCAGGGTGCCAGATTTCGACAACTAAGACATTGGCCCTGCCTGAAGTTTGCCTAAAATCTCCATGTAGCCAATGGAGAGAGGTAAACTTTGCCCTTGCCTACTCCCAATTGCTCTTCAGAGGCAGCTCTTGCCTGGACCATGAGCATCAGTACCTCACTCAGGGCACCCCGAATCATCCTGCCAGGTCTGGGACCCATCTGTTAAGTCACTGTTAAACCCAAACTGGGTGCCTAAGGAAGAGGGGGTTGACACTATTGTTAAGAAAGGGCCAGCATTTTCAAGGGTTTTTCCACTGTCCACCCAGGCAGTACAGGCTTGTGTCTCCCTGTATTAGCAATAATCCTGCTTTATTTGCACACTTCTTCCTCAGCAAAACTGCACCCTTGTTGTTCGTGTTGAGACCAGAGACCTTGAAGTGTTCCTTTTCTAGGTACTCTACTCACTGTTCCTCATTCATTAAGTCTGCATAGGAATGTAAGCACTGCCAGAGGTCTATCCAGCATGTTTCCTCTTTCAGCATTGACTGAAAAGGACATTTAGGCAGAAGCATAAGAGGAGACATACTTCCCCAGAAGAGTTTCCCAGCCTCAAACAATTTTCTGTCTCAGTGATTTCCATTAACTTTGTACCTCACTTACCTAGGGCTTGCATTTGACTCTTCAGGCTATTTCCTTTTCCCCCTAGTTATATCTGATAATATTTTAAAATGTTCTAATACCTTTCATCCTTCTCTCCCTAAGGAGAAACTTCCACCCACACCCCTGACTAAATAATGGAAAAATAAATTTACAGTGTGAATCATAATGGGGTTTTCCTAAATCAAAGTTTCTCACTACAGAATTACTGTAGAAAAGGGAACTTTGATTGGTAGTTCTGTAATTTTAATATTACAAAAATTAAAAGTGGTACTTCATAATTTTAAGAATTGTTTACTGTTATAATTTGACACAATGATGTTTGAAATTGCTTTCTCAGTAGCAGGTGGCACTACAAAGTACAGTCATCATTCTTGCAGGAAGTACTTTTGTGTCCATTCTGGGCTATTATGCATATAATCTCATCATGTGTTTCCAATCTATTTTGAAGCAACAAAATAAAAATCTTTCTGAAAATCCAGAATGTTATCCTGAAACAAGCTATTTTCCTTGGAGGATGTCACTTTTCACGCGAAGGCTGAAATCATGTCACTGTGCAGCAATATTCAACTGGTTGCCAGATAGTCACATGAAGTTAGAGAATTCATTAGGAATTTTCTCTTAATGAGCCAAGTACATTTTAATATCGAGATGAAAAAGCCAAAGGCAACCCTCCAAGTCAGACGTCTTAAAG